CGAAAACATGTCTTCCTCCTTGATATTTTCTACACAACGTAAAGGATGTAAACCTGATAGACACAGTGTAAAAGCTCTTCAAGTTACAATGTTTTCATTATAACGCCTTTATACCATTTTTAATGACATCACAAAATATACATTCATTTTCCATATTCCATTTCTCATCATTCCCAACATTCGGATGTTGAAATATATTGTCCCAGTGTTCATTGTTGGATGTTGAAGTTTTTGGGCGGCAAAACCTTCTGTAACAGCAGTGGTCACTCAGGTGGGGCTTCAAGTTTTCAGTTGGGGAGGAAATTTACTGGGCGGCAGGTAGCTTAGCGGTTAAGAGCGTTGTGCCAGTAACCGAAAGGTCGCTGGTTCTAATCCCCGAGCCGACTAAGTGAAAAATCTGTCGATGTGCCCTTATTGCTCCTGTAAGTCGCTCTGGATAAGAGCGTCTGCTAAATGACCAATTTATTATTATTTATTATAAGTTGTATGGAAGGAATCTGGAGAGGGTGGGAGGGTTTAGGTTTCATGACATATTGGGTAAATCTACATGGACATAAGGTTACACATTATGTATGATTTTAGCATGTAAATCTTGGTGGGGCAAAGTCCCCACACATTTTTTAGATGCATGCCAGAAAAGCCACTACACAACAGAACACTAAACAATAATTAATTGCACTTTAACGGTGACAAACGGTGCCCACAAACTGTTAGGGCCTACATAAAGCTGTCCCAACAGCAGAGCTTTCTTTTCAGCACCATGGAGTGAATCCTTACCACCGCTTCATCTGGCTATCAGCGGAGCCTTGTCTGGCAGTGAAACAGTTCATTCAGCCTCATTTACTGCCTTTAAAAAAAAACATAGCTGATATGGCTGACTTGCTTAAACAAATGTGGTTTCTACTGACAATTGAGATGTACAAACTATGGCATAAGGGGACAACGAGTGGATAAGAGGCAATCCGTAATTTCGATTAAGACATTAATGAGCAAGCTAGGACGGACGTAGTCAATATAACTATTTGTTCAGCGCTTTTGAAATGTACAGCGACAGAATTCAGAACATGGGCCGTTCTTACAGTATTCTCCCTGTACACCAAGTCAGAACCGTAGGTTAAATAAAGGGGGCATATAAGCAGACAATGAAAGCTCTTAAAATATTAAATGATGACATTTCTCTAAAACAGGCTATAGGCTACATGTGCACCACCAAGTCAGAACAGTAGGCTAAATTATGAGGGGAAAAGGGACCAGATTATTAGGGTGAGGCACATGGGCTACTAACAGCTTACTACACAACATACACTTAGCATTACTTTCTTAGATACAGTATATACACTACCGTTCAAAAGTTTGGGGTCACTTCTTGTTTTCCATGAAAACATACATGAAATGAGTTTGAATAGGAAATATAGCAAAATGCCATGATGATCTGAACGAGACTGCTGAATCGAGGCAAAGGTAAGAATCTCTTGATTAACTATCTAATGTGAGCTAAATGTAGTAATTAATAAATTGGCTACATTTCTTTAAATGGACAATTCTGTGAACTGTTTTGTGCAAGTTTTAATTTGACACAATACCTGGTAGCAACGGTGTCAGCTAGAGATGACTTGCAGGGATTTGTAGTCTACTTTGACTCTAATTAGCATTTTCAAATCTGAGAGTAAATAGAGCCGAATATATTGCTAAGTCACCTTGTCTGAGAGAGATTTACATGGTTATAAAAAACGTCACGCCAGGGTAAGCCTACACTAATACCCATGTCGCAAGGACCTGTACACAATTCCTGGAATTTCCTTTATTTTAAGTGTTTCTAAAATCCCCTATGGGAAAAATCAGGGGCGCAACTTTGGTTTTAGAAGTGGGTGGGACATAACTCTTTATTTTAATTTAATTTTCCAGTCAGATAAACACGCCAAACAGCCTACCCGCTCGGAGGCGTCCACATGGTCCTAAAGCACACCGTTGCCTCGTTTTGTTTCAAATTCCAATGATAAAACTGGGGGGGACAAAAATGCAATTTCAGAATGTGGCAAATCCTTTTCAATCCTTGTCATATGAAGATAAATAATGAAGAGAAATGATAGATAAAACCTATCTGTGCATATCGGCCATTGGACATAAACATTACACAACAAGTTGGAAATCGCAAATTCAACAATGAGTGGTTTGGAAGGAATCAGTGGCTAACTGCAAGCATTGCAAAGCAATGGGCTCCCGGTCTAAGGCACTGCATCTCAGTGCTCGAGGTGTCACTACAGACCCCCTGGTTCGATTCCAGGCTGTATCACAACCGGCCGTGATTGGGAGTCCCATAGGGCGGCGCACAATTGGCCCAGCGTCGTCCGGGTTTGTTCTTAACTGACTTGCCTAGTTAAATAAAGGTTAAATAAAAAAATGTAAAATCCACTATATGGCGGTCCCCAGTGAATGTTGCGCCCCTGGGAAAAATTAATGGTGGAAAAACGATTGGAACAATTTCCCTGTTTGACCGCTAGGTTTTATGGGTATTATGACACCTCCACTGTGGGGCTCTATGTCATCTACACTGAACAAAAATGTTAATGCAACATGTAAATTGTTAGTCCCATGTTTCATGAGCTGAAATAAAAGATACCAGAAATTGTCCATACGCACAAAAAGCTTATTTCTCTCAAATTTTGTTTACATCCCTGTTTATGAGTATTTCTCCTTTGCCAAGATAATCCATCCACCTGACAGGTGTGGCATATCAGCAAGCTGATTAAACAGCATGATCATTATACAGGTTCACCTTGTGCTGGGGACAATAAAAGGCCACTAACATGCAGTTTTGTCAAACAACACAATGCCACAGATGTCTCCAGTTTTGAGGGAGCGTGCAATTGGCATGCTGACTGCAGGAATGTCCACCAGAGCTGTTGCCAGATAATTAAATGTTAATTTCTCTACCATAAGCCGCCTCCAACATCGTTTTAGAGAATTTGGCAGTACGTCCAACCGGCCTCACAACTGCAGACCACGTGTATGGCGTTGTGTGGGCGAGCGGTTTGCTGATGTCAACAATGTGAACAGAGTGCCCCATGGTGGCGGTGGGGTTATGGTATGGGCAGGCATAAGCTACGGACAACGAACACAATTGCATTTGATATATGGCAATTCGAGATACCGTGACAAGATCCTGAGGCCCATTGTTGTGCCATTCATCCGCCGCCATCACGTCATGTTTCAGCATGATAATGCAGGGCCCCATGTCGCAAGGACCTGTACACAATTCCTGGAATTTCCCAGTTCTTCCCTGGCCTGACATGTCACCCATAGTGCATGTTTTGGATTGTCTGAATCAACATGTACGACAGCGTGTTCCAGCTCCAGACAATATCCAGCAACTTCACACAGCCATTGAAGAGGAGTGGGACAACATTCCACAGGCCACAATCAACAGCCCGATCAACTCTATGCGAAGGAGATGTGTCGCGCAGCATGAGGCAAATGGTGGTCACACCAGATTAGGGCTGTCCCCGACAAAAACAAATATTGGTTGACCGAGAATCTTTTGTTCTTTCGACCAATCGATTGGTCGAAATTTTCAAACGTGTATTTTTCCATATATAGACACACCCTATGTTTGAATAAAATCAACTAGGCCTATATGTAGGCTACTGAGTTTGTCTGATGTTTTAAGCACTGCAATAAAAAATGTAGACACAAATTACTAAAGAGGGAGCCAGAGATCAATATAGCCTAAACAGAAGAAAAAAACAGCGGTCGGCAACCTTTTCCATTTGGAGTGCCAAGTTATCGTATCATTTTTACTGATCTGCGTGCCAGTTATGGTTTTCATATGAACAGATTCATTTAATTTATATTAAAGTCTTCATATCTCAAAATCAATGTCATGTGGTTAATCAAAATTAAATCTAAATGAAAACGATACAAATCTAAAAGTAACTTATATTGCCATTATGTAAAAATGGCCTACATAAAGCCAAAAAATAAAAACATTGCAGCCCGCAGGTAGAAAATATCCTGATAAATCACATTGGCTAAGCATGGCCTGTCTGCAAGGAACTTGAAACATGATCAACTATTAACATAGCTCCTGAAGCTCGTGCTAGTAAACTTGCAACATTGTATGAAATATTCTGGGCCCTCGGAGCCAGTGAGCTCCTGACAGACATGTAGGCTATTTGTGCAAGGGATAAGAAGTAATCAGGTAGGCTTTTTTTATGACGTTTCCATCGGATCAGAGCACAACATATTTTTCTCCCTTTCATGATTCCATCGGATCAGAGAATGACATTTTATTTCCCTTTCATGCTAAGTGGTTATCGAAAGGGAGAGAGCTGGAAAGATTTTTCAGGCTATGTTGAGGAACTATTGTCATTCTCAATGGATGTAAAAACAGACTTTGTTTACTTGCTGTTTGAGGCCTAAATCTATGCGTAATCAGGTGCGTGTCCTTACTCAAGATTGACAGGAGCGCTCCAAACAAAAGTCAATGAATAAATTGACAACTCGTAAATGGAATGAAATAAACCAAAACCTTTTTCTCACAAGTGTAGCCTAGGTTGTGTACTCTGCAAACAACGTGTCCACTTCTACAATGACAACAGTAAGACTGTAATAATAATATATTGAATGCATAAACAGAAATTACTGTAAACAAACCAACATTGTAGATTAGAAATGATGGTAATTAACGGTAAATGTACTACTGGCGATACTAGTATGCCATCCCCGTGGCCTCTGCAATGGATTAGTCCACTCAGACAGGCGTGAATCAGACGGGTGTCTCGTGTGCCATAAAATGTTTTTATTTATTGACTAAAAAAATCTCGGCCGACCAACAGCCTATCGACCAAACAATCGGCCAGTCGACTAAATGGGGTCAGCCCTAGCTTCTATGTAATAGTTCCTTGGTTCAACTTGAACACCAAGGCACCAAGCGATGGAGATCTGACCATATGCATCTGACCAACTCACCCCTGTTTACATACAAGTGGAGTGTGTTACCTGGAGAAGCACCCAGCATCACTCATGACATAGTCCTCTGATACCGTTGTGCCCCCGCAGACGTGTGTTCCATTTGTCTGTAGACTGGCTATCCGGGGCCAGGAGCCCATTGACACCGAGTCCATACCAGTAAGGGAGTTCAAAGAGACACTGCCACACACCACGGCTGCAGAAACAGGGAGAGAAGAGCTACAGAAGTCAGGACTGTAACACTGTCTGAGGGAGACTTTTGGCTGAGTGTAGTAAAGAGAGGGATACACACTCAAGTTTGGATGTGGTCAAATGGAGAGGTATAGATAAGTTGTCTATAACTACAACAGGAGTAACAGACATGTTTGGGTGTGGCTCTAAGAGGAGGCACCAATTTGTTTGTTTCACAGAGGAAGGTAAATCCGATTACCTTTAGGAGTGGTTTCAAGGGCAGTTTTGGTGGTAGTGGTGGTCACAGGGGCAGTTGTGGTTGTAGTGGTGGTCGCAGGGGAAGCTGTGGTGGTAGTCGGCGTGGTAGGGGTAGCTGTGGTGGTAGTGGTGGAAGTAGCGGCAGTTGTGGTCGTAGTGGTGGTCACAAGCACTGAGATTAGATTTTCTTATGAAACATAATGGGTAGGTTATTCAGACACAGATTAAGCCTAGTCTTGGACTAAAAAGCACTTTTAATGGAGAATCTCTATTGAAAGTGCTTTTTAACAGTACAGTATAATCTGGGTCTGAGAAACCAGACACAGATTAGGAATGTGTAGTTAACCCACATTGTAATAAACAAACAAGATAGCAAAGAGATTTTCCTGACAGGAATCCTTTCCTCCTGCTGATAGACCAGCACAGATTATGTTGTCAGTGATGGAGCCAACTCTATAGTTAGTTAGTTACACTGCCTGTTCCCCACTAATGGCACATACAACTCCTGTGGGGTCTGTGGTGAGGGCAGGGACACTGAGGAGAGACATTCAACCCATAAAAAAAGGTATTCCTCAACATACACAAGACAAGATCTATCAGTATTCTGATCCATCATCCGTAGTACTTAATGCAAGCTACAGTATATCTGTGCGCTTACCTCCACTGCTGATGGTGCCGGCGCAGCCGGTGCCCCAGCTAGTAGTGCCAGCATAGAAGGAGCTGCCTGGTGCTGCCAGGCAGACTGGCCGGATGTGGTTGGTAAAAGTCACGGGGGAGGAGAGCTTCAGCAGACACATGTCGTTGTCACTGGTACTACTAATGTAGTTGGGGTGGCAGATGATCTGAGTGACTGTCCGGCTCACCTCATTGGGGTTGGAGCCCTCCTGGCTCTGACGACCCACGGAGACCACCAAATTTGATGTACTGGTGCTGAGAAAAATAGTTTCAAGTTTGAATTGTATTAAATGTTTGAAGGGCCGGTAGCACCCACCTCAGCAATATTTGAGTATTATCGTATTTACGAACTGCTTCCCTTTACTTCCCACATCTCATTTTGGTGGGTAAAGAAAAACATGGAGAAGAAAGTCTGTTTACAAAGTATTTTTACTGTCCCAAAAACAATTTAGTGGTTTTATGTGATCACATGAAAATCTAAATACATATTATTATTATTACTATGTGACAGTTTGTGGAAATACTACAATACTGATTTTTTTGAGCCCTGTGTTTTTTATGGGTCCTCACCTGGGAAAGCAGTGAGCAGCAGTCAGCACCCACTCTTTGTTGATAAGGGATCCCCCACAAAAATGTCTGCCAGATTTCTGCAGACTGGCCTGCCATGGCCAACTCCCTGGAGGAGCATCCTAACCCCCCACGATCCTAGTGTTGAGAGGAGAGATTCCACACACTAACAGACACAGATGGACGAGGGATTACAATAGAGCACACACAGGAAGTGAAGAGATTGAAACCTCACTAGTTAGTCAGTGGATAGGTGCATGGTTATATCATTAAATTAGGAAAAGAACGGACATTTGATTGAAAAAGGATGGGACTTACCATCCAATTGAGAGTGAGACCCTGTAAAACAGGAGAAGCAGAAAATAGTTGAACATTTTTGGCACACTGTGGGCAAACATGTAATTCATAACTCTTAGTACCCCATTGGTTTTATAGTAGCTACATACAGTCATGGAGCTTTGTCTGTCTGGCTGGCTAGGTGGCTGGCTGTGAATTATTATTGTGTTTTCTGACGGTACTGTACAGTATGTGTGTATTTAGTGTCCCTACAGAGTTTTCCTGTGAACAAACTCTGTCGCAATTGTTTTCTTGTTATGAGTCTGTGGATTGTTAAGCCAAACGCTGTCAGTGGCTGATGTGGATGTGGTGTAGGAGTCAGGCGCAGGATACAGAAGCTACTTCCAACAGACTTTACTCGAGGACACGAAATACAAAGAAAATGGCCTCAACAAACAAGGAGGCGAGCGATTACGCAACAGTGCGCAAAAACACTCCAATGCACAAGCAATACGCAAAAGTGCGTCTGGACTCTAAAACACAATAGAGCAAAATACCAGCACCTACGGACAGGCGGAACAATTACACACAACTCACTACAAACAAAACGAGACACATATAGGGAACATAATTAACACTAACAGGAAACAGGTGAACAAAGAAGACAAAACCAAACAAACATCGATAACATACAACGGTGGCAGCTAGTACTCCGGGGACGACGACCGCCGAAGCCTGCCCGAGCAAGGAGGAGGAGCAGCCTCGGCCAAAACCGTGACACACGCCATCTGTCAAAACTAGTTTCATCACTGTGTATGTTACCTAATGCTACCGTGCACTTAACATTGTCCAGAATGTGTCTTTAACACTAATTAGCACATTACCTATTAAAACAACCTATGAGAATAGATTACTCTCAGAATTACTAAGACATTTGTATATTTTATACTAATACTAATGAACTAACACTAAATAAATATCATTTGTGGACCAAAGCCTTATGAATAAGATAAAGAGGATGATTAAATATATACTGTATCTTTAGAGAAGAGCTAAAGAAAAACAGGCTCATCGGGAAAGAAATTCTCAAAAATAAAAATAATAAGAAGAAATGCACAATCATCCTACAAAGGAAGCAATGTGGTCACAACAAACAGTCATCAGTGCTGTAGGACTGTAAGGGGATTTCACATGAAAGAATACTTGGTAATGTTTTATAATGCATTGCTTCTACATCTGCATTGCTTGCTGTTTGGGGTTTTAGGCTGGGTTTCTGTATAGCACTTTGTGACATCGGCTGATGTAAAAAGGGCTTTATAAATAACATTTGATTGAAAAAATGTGATTGACAAGACTAAAAAGGATAGATCCCCCAATCACCCTTCTCTTGCCTCCACTATTGTTTTGAATCTTCTCAGTATGTGACAAATCAATGGTGTAAAGAGGCTTCCTCTCCTTACCTACTTATTTGAAGTAATCTAAAAGAACTGGACAGATGAAATTAAGCCTACTGCTAAACGTCTGTCATAATAACACTTTCACCTACTCTGTCTTTTCAGACTAGTGCAGCTAAAGGAGCACCCTACTTCTGGGAAATCTGTGGGTGTGACTGTCAGGTTGGCTGGCTGGCTTCACATTCAGTCTTCACCCACTAAATTAAAATCAGGTAATATTTTGTAATTAATGTATACAACACATAAAGAGGCAAACAGACAAATCAGACTTGATATTTGTTTCTACAAGTTCATTGCATTACATAATGAACATATCAAATATTATATTCCATCCAACTGTTTTGTGTGAGGACAAACAACTTGCCAGTCACCACCAATGTTCATACACTTTGGAACCTCAATTTCCCCCCTGTATTATACACTTAAGACAAGGACAGATGAGCATTGCATTGGTGACACAATTTTCCATTAAGATGGATAATGTCATTGTCAGCCGAAGGCACAACATTTCCTTTACATGCTCATTGAACTAGTGTTAAAAAGCCATTCAATGGTCTTGCTCAACTCTCCAAACACTTCAGAAGGCACGCACACATGTACCCACCCACACACGCACCCACACACCCACGCACACCCACACGCACCCACGCACACACACACACACGTCAGTGAAAGACTGATAGGCCTAATTAAGGTATGTATTTTTCACGTCAGGTCCAGTGGCACAAACAGGAAGACCAAGTGTCAATCATTTTACAGGTGCATCAATACTGGCTTTACAGATGTATTAGATCTAAGAACAAATCACAGTCATATAGGCCGCAAATGTGGTGCATGTGTCAATTAAAAAATATGTATTTATTTACACTGCTCAAAAAAATTAAGGGAACACTTAAACAACACAATGTAACTCCAAGTCAATCACACTTCTGTGAAATCAAACTGTCCACTTAGGAAGCAACACTGATTGACAATAAATGTAACATGTTGTTGTGCAAATGGAATAGACAACAGGTGGAATATATAGGCAATTAGCAAGACACCCCCAATAAAGGACTGGTTTTACAGGTGGTGTCCACAGACCACTTCTCAGTTCCTATGCTTCCTGGCTGATGTTTTGGTCACTTTTGAATGCTGGCGGTGCTTTCACTCTAGTGGTAGCATGAGACGGAGTCTACAACCCACACAAGTGGCTCAGGTAGTGCAGCTCATCCAGGATGGCACATCAATGCGAGCTGTGGCAAGAAGGTTTGCTGTGTCTGTCAGCGTAGTGTCCAGAGCATGGAGGCACTACCAGGAGACAGGCCAGTACATCAGGAGACGTGGAGGAGGCCGTAGGAGGGCAACAACCCAGCAGCAGGACTGCTACCTCCGCCTTTGTGCAAGGAGGAGTAGGAGGAGCACTGCCAGAGCCCTGCAAAATGACCTCCAGCAGGCCACAAATGTGCATGTGTCTGCTCAAACAGTCAGAAACGGACTCCATGAGGGCCCGACGTCCACAGGTGGCGCAGTGGTCTAAGGCACTGCATCGCAGTGCTAACTGTGCCACTAGATCCTGGTTCGAATCCAGGCTCTGTCGCAGCCGGCCGCGACCGGGAGACTCATGGGTGGCGCACAATTGGCCCAGCGTCGTCCAGTGTAGGGGAGGGAATGGCCGGCAGGGATGTAGCTCAGTTGATAGAGCATGGCGTTTGCAATGCCAGGGTTGTGGGTTCGATTCCCACGGGGGGCCAGTATAAAAAAATAATAAAAAAATGTATTCACTAACTGTAAGTCGCTCTGGATAAGAGCGTCTGCTAAATGACTTAAATGTAAAATGTAAATGTTGTGCTTACAGCCCAACACCGTGCAGGACGTTTGGCATTTGCCAGAGAACACCAAGATTGGCAAATTCGCCACTGGCGCCCTGTGCTCTTCACAGATGAAAGCAGGTTCACACTGAGCACATGTGACAGACGTGACAGAGTCTGGAGACGCCGTGGAGAACGTTCTGCTGCCTGCAACATCCTCCAGCATGACCGGTTTGGCGGTGGGTCAGTCATGGTGTGGGGTGGCATTTCTTTGGGGGGCCGCACAGCCCTCCATGTGCTCGCCAGAGGTAGCCTGACTGCCATTAGGTACCGAGATGAGATCCTCAGACCCCTTGTGAGACCATATGCTGGTGCGGTTGGCCCTGGGTTCCTCCTAATGCAAGACAATGCTAGACCTCATGTGGCTGGAGTGTGTCAGCAGTTCCTGCAAGAGGAAGGCATTGATGCTATGGACTGGCCCGCCCGTTCCCCAGACCTGAATCCAATTGAGCACATCTGGGACATCATGTCTCGCTCCATCCACCAACGCCACGTTGCACCACAGACTGTCCAGGAGTTGGTGGATGCTTTAGTCCAGGTCTGGGAGGAGATCCCTCAGGAGACCATCCGCCACCTCATCAGGAGCATGCCCAGGCGTTGTAGGGAGGTCATACAGGCACGTGGAGGCCACACACACTACTGAGCCTCATTTTGACTTGTTTTAAGGACATTACATCAAAGTTGGATCAGCCTGTAGTGTGGTTTTCCACATTAATTTTGAGGGTGACTCCAAATCCAGACCTCCATGGGTTGATAAATTTGATTTCCATTGATCATTTTTGTGTAATTTTGTTGTCAGCACATTCAACTATGTAAAGAAAAAAGTATTTAATAAGATTATTTCATTCATTCAGATCTAGGTTGTGTTATTTTAGTGTTCCCTTTATTTTTTTGAGCAGTGTAGAATGGAGACGTCTCTTCTTGACAGTGCTTTAGCTTTTCTTCTCAGGCTGTTAACAAATGCAAATTCTCATGCAAAATATAGTTCCGGAAAAAGTGAATTTGTCTGGCTGCCTAGTTTGTATAAAGGTATACACATCACATGCATAGGAACATTGCCTGTGGTCTTTTTCATTTCAGTAATTGCTCATCTCCTTTATGTTGTCATCAAATGTTGTCATGACACCCTATCATCAAAGTGAGGTTTTATGCTCTCGCTCTCAAATGTTACTTAATGGCAGATTGTAGTTTAATGAGTCTCATTACTTGAATGAGGAATTTGGATGCTTTTGAAATGTTTTACAGGGGGCCATTTTTTTATTGAACCTTTATTTATCTGGGCACTTTTGAGGGAAACATTTTTACATTTACATTTTAGTCATTTTAGCAGACGCTCTTATCCAGAACTACTTACAGGAGCAATTAGGGTTAAGTGCCTTGCTCAAGGGCACATCGACAGATTTTTCACCTAGTCGGCTTGGCGATTAGAACCAGCGACCTTTCGGTTACTGGCAAAACGCTCTTAACCACTAAGCTACCTGCCGCCCCGTTTATAAGAAACCTGGGGCCTCATTTATAAACATTGCATATGTACAGAATATACCCCAAAACATGCACGCGCCAGTTTTCATGCAAACATTGGCATTTATAAAAACTGAACTTGACGTGAAAATGTGCTTACCTCCACGTAAACTTTAGACCATGCGTACACACAATTTCTAGTGGTTGAAGTATTGCATTGCAAGCAGGCCGTTAATGAGAAGAGCAAACATCTATTTTATCTTTGATCATCTGAACTAATTAGAAATAGGAATTTATT